AAGGGCAAAAAAAACAGTAGATGCTCCAATGATTCTACCCCATTACTACAAACAGAACACATATTGTCTCTAGCACATTTTCCTTTGAACAAAGCTTCTTTAGTAGCCACAGCATCATTAAGAGCCCTCCACATGAATTGTCTAACTTTAGGAGGAACATTTAAGTGCCAAATGCATTGCCAAAGTTGACTAGAAAGCTGATAGGAATTATTAGGCCTCTGATCATTTACAGCAGCCCCTTCCTCTTTAGCCACATGATATCTAGATTTGACTGTATGTATACCATCCTTGTTTTTCAACCAATACACCTTATCTTCTATGACAGTATTAGGAATAGAGATTCTCAGAATAGCTTCCTTCTCAGCTGCAGAAGTTCTACCTTTGAGTAAATTGAGACTCCATCTGCCTTTAGAAATCAAAGTCTCAACTTTTAATTTTTTTATCATCTTCACTCAACTGCATACTGCATATCTTATAGCCATTCAAATTTGGAATCCAATTATCACACCACACCCTCACCTCCTTTCCGCTACCAACGTTCTAGAACAACTCCTTACAAAGCAGATTTCTTCCTTCAAGAATACTAAACCAACACTAAGAAGCTTTGCCCCCCTTCTTAGCCTCCATGAAACTACACTTTGAAAAATAAATGCCCTTTAGGATTTTACACCATAATTCATCTGGATTCTGCAGAATTCTCCATGTAGTTTTTGCTAAAAGAGCTTTATTAAAAGCTTGAAAACTTCTAAACCCCATGCCTCTATCTTTTTTAGAAGTTGCCAATAAATTTCATCTTTTTCAATGAATCTTTTTACCACCATTCTCATTCTGCCCCCACCAAAAATCAGTAATAATACTATCAATCTCTTTGCAACATTGCATAGGAAAAAGAAAACTAGACGTAGGATAAATGGGAATTGAGCTAGCAACAGCTTTAATCAGCACCTCTTTACTAGAAAAAAGTGAGAAGCTTCTTTTTCCAACCTTGTAATCTTTTACTTATCTTACTCTTAACAAAAGCTAAAGTAGAAGCTTTTTATCTCCCCCAAATCAGTGGTAATCCAAGGTACTTACAAGGTTCAGAAGTAGCCTTCACGCCCAACACCTCTTCAATCTCCTCTAAACCATAGGATGTTATGTTAGCTAAGAAGAAAATGCAGGATTTCTCTAAGTTTATTTCCTGACCAGAAGCTACACTATACACCTCCAAAATCTTCTTAAGAACCATGCAATTTTCTTTTTGAGCTTTAATAAAGAATAAAGCATCATCAGCAAAAAAAAAAAAAAAAAGCAATGTGTAAGCATAGGTCCCCCTCTAGACAGCCTTATACCCATCAAATCCCTATGATTTACATGAAACTAAACCATTAAAGACAATACATCAACTACAATAATAAAAAGATAAGGAAAAAGAGGATCTCCTTGTCTTACACCCCTTATATGTTAGGTTTAGAATTTGATGGGTGAGAATTTAAACTTAAATTTGAACAAAATCATCTGTTTGAATGTTAAAAAAAAAAAACCTTGAATTTAAATCAAATCTAAATCTAAATTATATTTTATTATTTACAGTTTTAAATTTATTTTATACACTAATTATTTAAAATTTTAACTACTTTTCAACTCTTTCCTTTTTTTTCATGTTTTCACTATCCATATCTCTATTATTTTCGTCTTTAAAAGGTGAACTTATCTTTTTTTAATCTTTTATTTTTGCTTTTAATATTTATTCATCTCTCTTATTCCTTTAATATTTTTTACACTACCTAAATAAATGATTTTAAATGTAAAAATCTACATATAAAATGTAAATTTAAATCCATCAAGGTTACCTAAAATTTTTAGTATTAAAATTTATATTAACCTTGTTTAAAATCAAAAGATAAAGTATATGAATTTCTTTGCATTTTGCTAAATTATCCGTACCTTCTTTCATCTTTAATATTTTTAGTATTGATCTTTAGTTTTTTTAGTATGTAATATTTTTATATTTTCAAAATCCAACTTTAATATTTTCAGTATTAAAAATTAAAAATCATTGTTATAAATATGAAAGATAAGTATTGTAAATTTTTTTTTAAAATACTAATAATGTTATAAATGAACCTAATTAAGAATATCAGAGATGAGTATTGAAAAATTTAACTAAATTTTAATTCTAACAAAAAATCATGATCATTTTTAAAAATATTAAAATTTATGATTCTTAACTATAATTAATATTTTTTCAAAGATTCTTAAATTTTGATTTGGATGGAAGGATAAGTGAAAAGAAAATAAAAAAGAGAGAAAACTAGAAAAAAATTTCAAAAATAACAATTTTTTATTAGTTTTAAGAATTTTCTCTTATCTCTATTTTTTAACGTTATTTGCCCTTGAACAAAAATCCAATCCAAGGGTAAACGTTATTTACCATTGAACCAAAAACTCAAATAAATAGCCTACTATTGGTATTAATCACACCCAATTGTTATAGGGCCATTACTCTCTTCTCAAAAGGTTAACCCATTAGGACATGCAGTGCACTCACTTATATAGTCAGGACTCTTCCTAAGTCCCTCCGATGTGGGACCTGACAGTTTCCCCAGCCAACCTGTGACAGGGGCATCATAGGTGGCCCACCAAAGAGGTCCACCGATTGGACAAACTTGAGCCTGGCTCTGGTATCACTTTATCATAGGACTATTACTCTCTCCAAAAAGTTAACCTATTAGAGCATGCAGTGCAGCCACTTATATAAGTACGCCCAAGTCCCTCTGATGTGGTACCTAACACAATGCTAACATCAATGTTATTATTTTGTTCAAAAACCAAAATGATAATTAACGTCAGAATTAATTTAAATTTAATGTCATTTGAATGTCAAGATTTTTATTTGATAGATCACAAATAACATGGTAATCCAATTTACTTAAAAAAATTTCAATTACAAAACAACTTTGGAGGTATTTCATTATCTTAAAAATAAAATAATTTAACAAAAATAAGATTTTATTAATGATGTTTTTTTAATATTATCGTTCAAGTAAAGAGAAAATTAAAATGATTGTAATATAATGATTAAGAATGCGTTTGGTTTCAGTTTGGTAAAAGTTTATTTGTCAAAAATTCATTTAGTAAAAATCAATTTGATCAAAGTTAGTTATGATAACAATATTTATATTTGAATACATTTTTTTAAAAGTTAATTTGAAAAAGTGAAAGTTATTTGGATAATATATGATAGAAAGTACTTTTAAATGTATAATTAGATAAATTTTATTATATGTGGTTTTCACTATGTTAACGTTGATTTAATAAAAAATATATATATAATATAAAAGTTGATAAGGTGAGTGACATATATGATAAAAGAATGTGTAAATAATGTAAAATTTTATATGCTAAATAATATATAATTAAAAAACGTATATATAATTTTTAAACGTTAGAAAATACATAATAAGAAAGTTTTTAATAATATAAAATTGGATACTTTAACTAATAACAAATTGATATGTTGAAAAAATATTTGTAAATATTTTTATTTGCATTTTAAAAAAATATTAACAAAGGCAAACATGGGAAAAAAGATGCTTACAAATTTTAACTCCCACATTTAAAATGCTAAAAGCAACTCTCCCTAACTTTTTGAAAAATGATCATTGATACTAATATGAATGAACTTTTAAAATATACATTTAGAAATAAAACAATAGATAAACAACTTTTACTTTTTAAAAATCACAAAAGTTCTGTTGAAATGTGAAAACTAGAATAGCCAAAGTATAAACTTAAAGTTATATTAAATAAAAAGTAGTATTAAAAGTTCATATTTTTATTTTAAAACAATACATTTGTAAAATGTTATTATTAAGTTTTATTAATATTCGTAATTTATCCCAAACTGTCTTATAGCTTAAGGTGGAAGGATAATTACAATATAAAGTATCCTATCAATTTTTATATCGCTCATTGGCTCATACGTCTCACCATGGGAGGTCTAAACTAAAGATACAAGTAGCATATTCCACTCGCTAAATTTGTTCTCGTTCGATCATTGATCAAAATGTAGCCCGCAAAATTACCCTTTTGCCCTCCAATTTCAGAATTGTGAAGACCAGTCAACTTCCAATTGTACTTTACACTATACATCTTATCTTGCATTTCTAATTTCTATATTAACAAAGTTTAAGAGCCGGGAGCCCATCAACATACTCAAAAACCACCACAAAGACTCGAGTCCAAATTACCATTCAATAGAACATAAGTAATTCACAACATACTTTAATATGAATGATTGATATTTTGAACAGCATCCACCACCAATCCACTTTTGTAGTGTCTATTCTCATTTCCACAGCTACTCAACAATTGCAAAATATTGTGAACTTCATCAATCCACTTACTCTTGCTTGTTGAAATAATTTAAATCGATAAACTAATACATAAATAAACAATACAAGCTTCTCTGGCCAAGAGGGGGAAAAAACTATACAAGTTTCACCATATATTGTGTAGGTTCGAGATATAAGCTGTACCGTTTATAACTAATTAATTGAATAAATTACTATAAAGTTTACATTCTATGTTGATATTGTTTAAGAGGGCTATATCTGTACTAATATTAATATATATAATAAATCTATAAGAACATTATTTGTAACTCATGCATAGTATTCACCTCAAACTCTATACGAAGCACAGGGTCCACAATCTTATTTTTATGGGGGGTTTGGGAGTTCAAAAGATTGAACACATCATTAGGTATAAATAGCACACATTTATACAAAACTACAAGATGGGCAAAAAAAGGAAAAAATAAACAAAGAGGCTGCACACTCATGTACTTAACAGCCAACAAACCAACTTTTTTTTTTTTCCCCGGGGGGGGGGGGTTCAATTCCATCCATAACTCATTTCTGCTCAGTACCCAGGTGCTTCAAAACATAAACAATAACAACAAGAAGCTTTGTCGGCTACGTGGACTGGCCAATGCCAATGTGCCCTATCAACAAGGGTTTCAAAAGATAATTTAATATAAATTAATTATGATTAAACAACATCCATGAGCTATCAATCCATTTTATAGTGTCTATTACACTATTTACATTTTAATGGTCAAAGTGTTGCACAAACAAAAGCCATATGGCGCCAAACTGCCCAATTTTGTGAGCCTGAACGTTTGTATCAACCCAGTTAGACTATCTCACATTCCCGACAAATAATTATATGCCTGAAGGTGGATGTCGGCCAGGAACTTAAATATATGAGACTCAATGAGCAATCACTCAACTTCAAGGGTAGCAATTTCATACCTGACTTCTTCTAGATGCTCATTAATCGTGGTAACAGTATCCTGGACACCCTTAATTGCTTCCTTGAGAGCATTATCATACTCAGCGTCAGCTTCAGCCTCTTCCGTCCCAGCAGCTTCTGTTATCTCATGAACATGAACACATTCATGCTCTTGTGGCTTTGTAAATGTACAATTCTCATGACTGACCAGACGTTCAGATGGGCGACCAGCTTTCTTTAACAGCTGAATGGTAGCTGTCTATAAAGAAAAGTACTAGTCAGCACAGAGAGAGAGAGAGAGAGAGAGAAGGGAAAGAAAGAAATCATAGGACTGACATAAACGTTTGAGTTGAAAGTGATAAAGCAGTATAACTTAACAAAGAAAAAAGAGGTTTTTGAGACAACACAATCCAAGAACAGTACATATCTAGAAATTGCTTTCAGACAGAATATAAAGCAAAGAAATTCAATGAATGAGGGATATTTTATCAAATGCAAACTGGGATAGAAAAATGGGTAAAATGAGAAACGGTTGGTGCATGTTCATTCCTGCATAGAAATGTTTGCTTGATGGAACTGGAATATGAGAGCATTTTGAAGTGTAATTCCTTTTTATCATAAAACAAAAGATGTCTAGTCATGACCAATTTTCTTCTGGGGCAAATCATAGATGTAAAATCATGTTGCTAGTTGCCACATTGACATAAACTCAAGGTTTTGTCTTCTAGATTGAGCTAGGGAAAGGTCTTGAAGTGGGAGAAACAAGCAAAACCCAAGAGTGTTACCAAGCGCTTAACTCTTTTCAATGTTTGAAGCCTAAATTTGGGTGTATATCAGGTTTAACTAGAACATTTGAGCTAATGACCCTTATATTGAATCACTATATTTAGATTAAACAAATCACGAAGCTGGACACCGAGGGTCATGAAACTTCAATTACACGTTGGCTAACATGATCAGCAGATGAAGTAAACAACCAATTAAAGAGGAATTCAGTGTTGTTTTGCCTTTGTGAAAAACATGTTGACATAGCAGGAAGAACTGACAGTATGAGGTACGGTCATCAAAGCCAAGGCACTATCTAGTATCTACCATCTACAATTATATTTATATTTTCATTATCTAACATAATGAATATAGGGAGACACACTTTAATTTAATCATAAACATCACATAGAGAACATGCTGGCAAGGAAAAGTGCCGTAAAAATCGTAAAAGCTTAATTCCTTGCATCAATATTGAAATCCTAGCAATACAAGCAATTATGTGAGAATATTTAACGAACATAGAGATGTACCAGCTGTAGTTTTTGTTTTTCCTGATCTTGAACAGCTCTAAGCAATTGTGCTAGATCAACTCGACAATGGTCAGAGCTTCGGAATAGTGACTCCAACTCAATGACCTATACTAAAGCAGAAAAAAGACTTAAAGAAAAAGGCGCCAAGTGAGGCAGATCATTTAAAGAAACAAAAGTAAAATTGGAATCATTTGTCACTTTTTTGGAACAATCATTGAACTCTATTGTGATCTCGCTGCAAAGTTGTTGGTAAGCTAATTCTCCTCCGGAAGTCATGTACTCGGAAAAACCCCTGTAATATCAGATATTGGATAAAGTGTCAGTCAGAGTCTAATCTCATTTCGAGACGAATACCTGAGCACTATTTTTTTTTTTTAATGGTAAAATTGAAGCATAATGACATGAAGTTGATGCCATTTTTATCCAGTTGAATACAATACACACACACACACACATTCTTGTCCCATCCATAAAATCTGAAACAGGAAAATGCCACCCAATACTCAGATACAGATCCAAACTGATAAACTTTGGGAATTTAGCATATATATCACGGCTAACACTGAATATTTTTTGGACTTTGACTCTACATTTGCGAGGACTCAAACAACATTTTTCCGAACAGGGCAAATTAATTGTTCTTCTTGCGCATTCCTGGAGCAATCCGATTGCTCCTGGTGTCAAAACTTTCTCATATTTTTGTTTCCAATTTGTTATTATTATTTCTTCACAAATAAGCATAACAAATTAACGGCAGCCAAAGAAAGCATACTCACGAACTATGACAAACTCAGTAACATTCATTCTCCTATATATGTCTGATTAGGGAATAAACTATCGTAAAATGAGCTAGAAGAACAAGTATATCTCAAAAGTGAAAAAGTAAGATCAAATTCACTTATATTTTCCAGGAATCTAAACAAGGCCAGCCGATATTGAATATACCTTTTCAGCTTGGAATATGCTTCTGCTCTGCGCTGCTGAATTTCAAGAAACTGGTGAAGTAAAAGGACGATGCTCGTTGATTCGGATGCTGTTTCTTCCGCTTCCATCGCATCTTTGATTGCAATCTTCTCGAAATCTTCCATCACTGATTTGTCACTTTGGTCTCCTTCAAGCTTTGAGTCTGCCCTCCTTCCGTCGCCTTTCATTCTTCTGCCACAGCCCAATAATCCGACCACCACGACATGACTTGCTCATAACGAACTGTCGTTTAAATAGTTCCCTCATACGACACCGTTTCAAACATAGTGTATGGGAAAAGTCATCAATCAAAAAGGCCATTCAATTCGAGTCCAAAGCATCCACCCACCGCCTTTTTATACGACCGAATTCTCAGTGAAGTGGACGCCAAGAAACGAAGCTCTTCTCTCATATTAATTTCTCAAACCTTCATTTCTTTTCAGTCCCAGGAAACCAACCTTTCTCTGTCCCATACCAACACTGAGAGAAGGACGTCTATTACTTGTTCTGTTTTTGTGATAGAAGCGTTGGCACCCAGAATGAAGAAGGCGGAGATAGATACGAGAGCACCATTCCGCTCCGTCAAAGAGGCTGTTTCGTTGTTCGGTGAGAAAGTCTTGGCGCAAGAGCTCTATGCAACCCAGCTCAAAGAGGTTCTCTCTTTGTATCCTTCGCCTTTTATATCACACACACCCTAACCATGTTTTGATTTATTGCTTCCTTTGAATGTTTTTATATCACTGTTTTCGTTTCTCTCTTCTTCTGGGTGATCCATTAGTCATGTTTTTTTTGTTTGTTATTATTTCCATTTATTACTTCCCAGAATTGCTATCCACGAGAAATTAATTTGGAGCATTTGAAGAAAAAGCTCCAAATGTTATGCTTGCTTGCAGGGTGGTGCAATCTTCAGGTGGTTAAAGCTGTAAACAGTCACAGGATACGCTTGCTTGTATTACAATGTTGTTGCTTCTTTTTGTCATGTCGTGTGATGGAATAAAGACACAGAAAATGAACAAATAATAAACCATAGCCTATGAAGGCAATCCTCAATTCCATTTTACCTCTATTGTCTGGCTTTGATGAACAGATCAATCGGACTCTCTGATTCTGGTTATTGATTAAGGACTAAAGAGTAGGTCGACCACTTCTTCCTTTTGGAATATTTAATTGAAAAATCAATCATCTGCAATTATTTAAAAAGTTAGTCCGTGCACAGATGGCTGCTAGTTAATGATCCTCTTTATTGCAGCAAGCCCTGTGGGTCTGTCAAAATATTTGGTTTCTTGTTGTCTTAGTTATTCAAGACAAATCAAAGAGATAGGCTGCTTATGAAGTGCGCTTACACACACACACACACACACACATGCAGATACAGAAGAGAGGGAATGAAAATGGGATGGAAGAATCATCGAGGGTGGGAAGAGTAGCAGTAGAGCTGGAGGAGACGAGGCAGAATCTGGAGAGGGCGAGGGAGGAAAGCATGTTAATGGCGCATTGCTTGTCGTCTCTGCAAGAAGAGCTTGAGCAGACGAAGCAAGAGCTGCAACAGCTGAAGCAACGAGAGAATGAGGAGAAGCATGCAGTGGAATGCGAGATTAATGAAGATGTCAAGTTCGTTGAGAACTTGAGCAGGTCAGAAGAGTTTCAGAAGAAAAGGTACGTCACATCTGCGAATCCTCCCTCTGTGTTGTCTCATGTCATTCACCCACAGAGTGTTGAGAAGCTGGAGAGGCATCCTTCCCTCAGGAAGAAGAAGAAGAAGAACCCTTTGATTCCTCTCATTAGTATCTTCTCCAGGAAAAAGGCTAACCCTCGAGTCCTCTGAACGCATATATCACTTCCAGCTTCTATGGCCTCGTATCTTATACTCTTATATGCTTTAATTTCAGCTGCCATATTTTCTGTTCTTTGTGTCCTTTTTGTATCATACTAGCTGGTAGCCATTAACATATTCCACCAAAGTAAGACGAGAGTGTAAGAGGAGGCACATTTAAGAGTCTTGTATTCGTGAAGCACCATTATTACAGATGCAGGGTGCATTTGGTCATTTGAAAAGTACTTTTAAGCTTTTCATATGTCAAAATTTATTTGAAAAATTTTTAATTGGCCAATAACTTTTGAGACATGTATTGAAATGAGGTTTGGAAGTAAACTTTGAAACTCAATTTTGAATTGAATTTCAAATGTCATATGTGAGTTGAGCATTCAATGAGGGAAATAAATTTATACTTATTTTTTTAATTAATCATGCTATTCTTGATTTTTTTGCATTTTTCATACAAGTTCACTTCATAGCCCTCTAACTCTTTTTTGTTTCCACTCTCTCTTCTTGTCATCTGTGATCCCTCATTTACATAATTTTTTTAACATATTAAAATTTATATTTTTTTATTCTTATTATTTAACATATTAAATTTTATGTTATTTTAAATTTTTTCACATTTTTTAAACATTTTTAATATATTATATTTGTATAATAAAAATTATAAATTATTATAAATTAATTTTCTTTTTTATTATTTTATTTTTAAAAGCACATTTCAAAAGCACAAATTATCATTAATTTAAATAACTTTTAGTTTACAAATTAATTTTTAAAAATATATATCTAAATATAAATTTTATTATAATAATTAACTTTTACTAAATTAATTTTTGTTAAATAAACCTTCAACAGATAAGTTTTTGGCAAAATGGCAAATAATTATGCCTCTGTGTTCTGTATGTCAAATTCTAGAAACGGTTGATGACAAACGATGAACAAACTCACGGGTTGTAATGGTTATAGAGAAGAACATTGGCATTTGCAGGTCAAAGTGACCACGATTAAATAGAGCAGTGTTATCACACGGAGACCCATATATAAGGAAACAATCAGACGAAATCGAAAGGAACGAACCATGAGGCGGCCATGTTTGTGAAGTAAAAGTAAGTTTTGTATGTTAGAGTTGAAAGCCTTTTTGCTTCTGATGACAATAACGTTGATTGCAGTAATTTGTTTATGGTCCGGTACTCTTTATAAGTGATTATTACCAACTTCGTTAATATAAATATAAAAAAAATATAAAAATAAAAATATATAGAATTTTAAATATATCCCTATATAATAAATAAAAAATAATATCATATTATTTTTTCTCTTTTGTAAAGAGTAATTTTAAAAATATATTTTAAATATTATCTAAAAAGTCCCATCATGACTTATAAATGAAACTAAATAAATTTTTTAAAATGTGATTTATAAATGAGATTGAAAAAAATACTTTGTTCTTCTCTACAAAATATAAACAGTTTTTGAAAAGAATTGTATCCTGATAAAAAATTTATTTGCATAAAAATATGAATTATTTTTTTTATTCTTAGTGTCAATTACTATTATTACTGTTACTTTACTAATGTATACTGTAGCAAGATATACATTTATATAAATATATAGGTTAATAAACATATATATAGGGGGTAAAATGGGAAATATTTTTTTACAGATATTATATTGTTTATATTTTGAATTAAGATTAATTAAGAGAAAAAGTTTACATTTTAAATCTAAAAGAGTACTTCCCCTTTTTTAAAACAAAAATTGAAATACAAACCAGTACAATTTCAACTTTTTTTATGATAAATGAATAAATTATTTTTAAATTTTAAGTCAATAATACATAAATTCTCAATTTATTTATTGTGTAAATTATTTTCTCAACTTTTAAAAAGAGTGCACTCTAACCCTTTGTAAATTTTGGAGTCATGGTCTATAATTTTTGGAGTCCTTTATTGTAAATGTTTTATAATTTTTGAGATCATTTTTTATTATTTTCTTGTTAATAAATAATTAAAGTTAACTTTTATTAATAATAAAAATAAGATTATATAATTTTTAAAAATTGAGAGAATAATTTATATAATAAATAAGTTTAGAAGATACAGTATTTTTAAATTAAAGTCGGGTAATTTGCTCCTTTGCTTTTTTTTTTAAATGAACAGGGAAACTATGATTTTTTTTTTAAATAAAACATGGACAAAACCATGCAAGGGTTACAAGAGTCAAGATAAATTAGAATCCAAGATGATCCTACATTTCATAGGTTGCTCGTTGTAGATAAAGAGATCGTAGTTTTCATGAGAAGTTTCCCGTGCAAGTAAGTCAACGCATTTGTTTGCTTCTCTAAAAATATGATCAAAAGTGACAATTCAATTTCTCATCGTAATCTCCGTGATTTTCTTGATGATAATTGCTAAAGGATGATGATAAGAGAAGTTGTGTTGAACAAGAGAGAGGGCTTTCATGAAGTCAGTGTGTAAATTGATCTTAGTAAAATTAGCATTCCAACCAAGTTGAAGGCCTTTTAAAATGCCTAATAATTTGACTGCTTTATAAGGTTGATAACCAGGATATTTTGAAAATCTGATAATCCAATTTCCTTTTTCATCACGAATGACTCCACCACAAGCCGCTGCGCCAAAGGAGTTAACAAAACCATCTATATCGAGTCTGACCCACCCTGTTTCAGGAGGACACCATTTAGCCTCAGATCTAAGTCTATCTTTGTTCAAAATATTCACTCTTGATAAAAGCTGTATATCGTTTATAATTTGTTGGGTATAAGAAAAGCCAATTTATTTGTCTTGATTAACATTATCAAAGTAAATTTTCTTGTATCTCGCTTTTCATATGTCCCAACAGACAAGAGCAAACAGTTGTTGCCAATTTGTTCTTCTTGTACTAGTATTCCCTGCCTTGTTTCTTGCATTTCAAGCCATCCAATCCTGCACATTCAAAAAGAAAAAAGTATTTAGTTTGAAAGGTTTGTCTAACTTTAGCCAGATCTCCTACACTTCCTTACAATCATGTAAGATATGAATTGCAAAGGAGAGTTACAATTAAAAGTGCCGGGGACTATGGTTTCAACTTAACTAAGGTTTCAACTTAACTAACGTGTGTAGTATGCTGGGTGCTTCCATAGCATCATGAGAATGGCTCGGCTATTTGCCGGAATCAGATATTGACGAGGAATAGTCTTGCTTGCTGACTCAAATTGGATGGAGTTTTGAGGCCCGTATTGACCCCCGAAACCAAAAGGACGCTCACTCATGCTTCTACTGAACCTAAAATACTCACTCAATAGGCTACTTAAAAAAAAAGAAATTGCAGATATTTTTTAGGCCGGGTGAGCTCCATCTAGTTTAGAAACTAAAATTTATTAAGAAAAAAATTTCTGACACTTTTTACATTAGGTAATCTCTATATCAGGTATAGGTGAGGTCCATAACATGTTTTTGAAAATATTTCTGTTTTTCAAATTAAAAAAATATTTGATAATGTGTTTTTAAGAAGTATTTTGAAAAACAAAAATATTATTTTGGAGAATGAAAAAATGGGCATGTTTGATAACCTGTTTTGAAAATAGTTTTCTGTTCTCCAAACTAAGAGAACAAAAAATTGTATTTGATAATGTGTTTTCAAAAAGTGTTTTAGAGAAAAAAACAAATATTGTTATGGAAAATAAAAAAATAGAAATAACTTTCAGATATTTTGGGATTATTGTTCTAGAGAATAAGGGAGAATGAGAAAAATTACTATTTTTATTATTTTTATTTTCAGAACATATTTTATAAAATACTAGTTCTTAAAACAATAAAATGAAAAACAATTTCAAACAGCCCCTAAAACATCTTTTATGTGTTTTTAGATTATTGTTCTGGAGAATAAGGAAGAACGAAAAAAAACATCCATTTTCATTATTATTTTTTTATTTTCAAAATATGTTATACAAAATATTAATTCTCATAATAATAAAACAAAACAGTTTTAAACAGGGTATAAACTTTTTTTTTGAAAAAAAAAATCAAACAATGTCTATACCAAATGTATTTGGAACTGGTGTAAAAAGGGGTTAAATGTGGAACCAATGTAAAAGATATTCTATCAAGTTTTTTTATTTATGAAAATGTCACCACTCTTTTTTTTTTTTTTACACTTATTCTTTTTTAACTACTTAGTCTTGGTTCTATTGATGAAATATCAGGCTCAACCTAGTGTTGGTGCCTAGTTAGGTTGAAATTACAATGTAAGGACATTTGAAATTATAGTCGTTTTTCTAACAGAAAAAAAGTTACTCTTTTCGTTTAAAAATATAAGACATTTTTAATCGAATCTCATCTTTCAATAAAATAGTTATGTATTTTCAAACTGATCCTATTTTTTTATATTTACCCTTATTAAATATCCTATAATAAATATAAAGTCACTATTAATAGGGGCACTTTTAGAAAAAAAGTAATGATTACATCTCAAAAGATTAAAAATGTCTTACATTTTTGAACATTCAACTCCTTAAAAAATATCTTACATTTTTGAATGAAGGGAATATAAAATTTACCACCTGTGTATGCTCGCAAGATTATTATTAGGAGCAATTTTTTCAAAGTTGTCACACATGTTTGTTTTAATTTGCAGGATGGAAACACTTTTACAATATCCAAAGGCCTAAGTTATAATGTTAAAAAGAGATAGCACTAGTAGTGCTTTTGAAAATTTTTCCCCTATGGTAATCTTTATTCTTCATACAATATTATTGATTTTTTAAGTTGTAAGTATCATTAATTTATCTTGCATGTCCTTAAATGTCATTTTACTTATGTTTTTTTTTTTTGGGCATTTCACCCAACTCCATCCTTGATTGGTTATACAAAAAAAACCAAAAAAAGGTAAACATCCCTAAAGGTTTTTCCCGACCAGATTATCCCAGGAGAAAAAATTGTAAGAAGAAAAACTTAATACAATTATTCTTTTGAATTTTAAAAAGAAATACTACAACTATCAGTGCTTCACGAACACATTATTGGACATTTTTGTGGACAAAACAATCATGGCTAGTACACTGGTAAATTTCCACCCAGCGAGTATCAACTGGACAAGTGGGCTTTAAACCTTGGAAAAAATTTTAGTCTGAACCCTTGACTAAATGTAATAAAAAAGAGAGTTGTTAAAGTTTGAAATTTTACTATAGATTAAGGATAGTAAAATGAAATTAAAATTAAAATTAAAATTAAAATTACCTCATTGTTCCCTGTGGAAAATTAGCTATGTGCATAAATAATTTCAGTTGGAAAATTAACTACTTTAATATAAAAATGAACAACTTCAGTATTAAAAGCTATCAAAGATGAGAAAGATAAATTAGAGAAGAATTAAAAAATGTCATATGTATTACTAATATGAAGGGTACATTATATACACTAAGAAATCGATAAAATAATAATGACTAATAATTACATAATAATATAAAATACTATAATTACATAATAATATAAATATAAAATAA